GTGTGTGTGTGTGTGTGTGTGTGTGTGTGACAGAGAGAGAGAGAGAGAGAGAGAGAGAGAAGCGGTGGTTTGGAGTTTTTACCGCGTCGTCGGGCGAGAGAGGAGGTGCCACACGTCCGATGATGGGAGGTCTCGGTCAGGTAGCGTCGCCTCGATATCAGGAAAGTCGATGCTCTCCTCCTCCCGCGGGGCTTCCAACTCCCCGCCGGGGAGAGCTCCCGTCGAGGCGCCACTTCATGGTCGGAGCATGTAGCCTGGCGATATCTTTTCCTGCCACTTGGCACGTGGAGTGGACGCCATTTACGGGCCCTTCTCAGCCCACTGACGGCCTGTGTGTTCCTTTTCATCCCATCACATATTTAGTCTTCATCTCCACCGTCCACCTGTCTCCACTGAGTGCCATCTTTCATCAGATCAAGGCGATCGTCCTCGTCCCGCGACTTAGGCCGCGAGGCACGAGTTCCTCACATGCCGTTGGAAGTTTCTTATATATTTTTATTATATTTCAAAGTCTTCTTATATATTTTTAATATATAATTAACAATAATTATTTTATATTTTTAAATATTTTAATAAAAAATAATTTTGTTTCACGTTCACCGGTGCTAAGTATACAGGATAGGAATAAAGACATTGAGACTTCCACACCCTGCATTCTCTCGTAAGGTAATAATATATAATGAGTAGCCTCTTTTGTTAGAATCTTTAAATTATCAGATTCTACCTGCAAATAAGAGTTTTCTTTCTTGTATAGTCATTTGTAGTCCATATTTAATTATCAGAGCCTCAATATACTCGGCATCCATCTCAATGGTATGTTTACAACCTGCAAGAATGCAATATTCATTACTATTGCTCAGTAGAAAGTCAATTCCATCATTATTTAATATATATATTTATATATATTATTTAAAATATATATTTTATTTAATAATAAATATTTTATTTTATTTAATAATAAATATTTTGAAAATCAATTATGGCTAATCAATGTCTCAAAAAAATGTTGACGTGAAAGAAAATGACTAAATCATCCTCTCATTATCGATGACGTGGAGATGGTTACAGCATATTGACTTCTATGAATAATAATGCACGAGAGATCGTTTAGGCTTATCCATTCTTTTTCACTCCTATAAATAAAATATCAAGGAGAAGATGTTGAGGTCATTACAGAAGCCCCCTCCACCCTAGTTGATCAAGTATAAAAATCGATATTCGACGTCGACCCAAGAGTTGGATCTTCTCAAAAGGATATCACATCTTCCATTGAGACATCAGAACTAATTTAAGCATCAGAGGGATCGGATCAAAAAATTCCTCATAATATTAGTCTTTATGCAGGATCCCTTAAATAAACAAACCTTAGCTCAGAGTTATTTTAAGATCACCTCGAACGCCTCGAGACTATACGAAGATCATATCGGAACTACTTCAGTCATCTTAATAGGGGATATTGGATGTTGCCTTTGGGTTAAGAACAAACCAGATTGACTCAACCATCGATGGTACATTTCCTCAATAAACTTAATATAACATAGTAAACAATTCTTTTAAATTCATCATGTACAAAATTGCTTTATATGCTATAGATATTGTGATAATTTTATTATGTTATAATGGAAATCATTATAACATTTGACTATAATTCATTTGAGTATGGAAGCATTAAAAAAAATGGATAGATCCTATTGATATTTATTTTTTGAGTAAGAAGTTGCTAAATCTTATTAGAGAAGTCATAGTAAGAAATATATGATTAACATCATCATTATGAGATCCACGAAGGCAAAAAAATTGAACATTAAATTAAAAAAGATTATCAATCGTAGTCGTAGGTAGTTTTAGATGTAATAATTTCAAACAAAATAATAAAACTTTATGAATGACATAAACGAACAACAGTCTAATCTTTTTTTTCTTTTTACCATACTAGAGAGGAATTGATTGGCTGACTTAGTTGATGAGATATCTCAATATCAGATATTTTTTAAAATAATTATTTATTAAAACATATATTCCAAGTATTATCGATCATAAGATGAGACACACGAGCATTATTCAAATCGAAGTTCATATTCATATAAATCGGCATCAAACAAATAGGTAAATAAAAAAATACAATTATTCTTAGTTATATGTGGTTGAGATCCGTCACCAATAATAGAAATAAAGTGTCTTGTAGATATTTAGTAGCATTCAAGAAAAGTCTTCTCCTAAATAGCATAATAAAATAAAAACACTCATTTATTTTATCTCATTTTATTTTACACATAAATATTTTAAAAACCATGTACATCACAACACTATGCGACATTTAACGTCATAATGTTAGATGCTCTCTGTGGGGCCCTTTGTTAGCTGTCCCACGTGGACGTAGAAATCATGATAGCTCTCTGTGAGGCCCGAAATCGTGATTACATCGAACCAAAGCTCTCAGAGTTTTGATTGCTCAATAATAACGACGAAGAGCAATTGAGAGATAAGAGGCATGATAGAATTAAGCAGAAAATTAATGATTCAGTAAAAGCTAGGACATCAAGAGAATAAGTAGAGAAAATATCGATAAATATATATACATAAAGTATTTGATATAATATTTGTATATGTTAGTAGCTTTAGACTTTATTTGCACAGTATATAAAGAACTGAATTTATAGTAGGTTTTATAGTCTCATCTTTTGGTTGACTTATATTCATTTTAGTCATCCAAATAATAATTTGAGAGGTTTTCAAGTTCTATAGAGTGATGTGAAGTATTAGCTACTATAATACCTTAAAGCTATCTAGATGACATATAGTTGGATGAGTTTTTTTTGGGTATTATCTATGACTGATTCGTTGTTTTATTTCGTAATAATGTCATATGGACTTTTGTTGAGACTTTTGATTATGGTAGATCATATAAATCTTTTATAGTACGATCGTCTAAAATTTATATTTATAATTTATATTGTCTATCAAATATTATTAAAAAATTCTTAAATTTATAAATTTTAGGAAGGTGAGTGTTTTCTCTAATATTTCTTCTATTTTACTATTAAGGATTATAAAAAATTTCAAAAAGATCAATCCACTATTAACACAAAAGAATATCTTACAACTTCACAATATTAATAATATTAACTAAGATCAATATTAACAATATTAACTAAGAATATCAGCCTCCACCCTCACTTATTATTTTCTCTCACCTTCCCATCTGCACTCTAGCATTGAGCTTCTCTCTCAAACTGTCATTTCCTAGGGACAATCTCTATCTAATCAATTTAATTGGATCATATATCTTTTCGGTCACCATCTTTCATAAAATATAATGGCTTTCTTGTGAGGCATGATTTGTGAACAAACAAATACATAATATTACATAACTCTCTTAATCTTTAGAACCAAATGGTTTTCATAAAATATAATGTATTATGTTGTGGAGAGAGAGAGAGAGAGAGAGAGAGAGAGAGAGAGAGAGAACTCGATTCTCAATTTATAAAAGCACAAATGACATCTTCGATCAACACATCTACTAAGGTCAAACCACGTAATTGAAAGATGCGCAATTCAAAGACCATAGACCTTCATGCGTGTTGTGCATACTTAGACAGTTGCATTGCCCGAGAAGTGCTCGATCAAGCGTGTGACATTAGACTGAGATGAACCCCGCCCTTCGTTCATGGCGGCGTTAGCCTTCTCTCCCAGTCGCTCGGCCCTCTGCCTCCTTTCTTCGCCTTCCTTCCCTTCATCCATTAGACTCCGCACGGACCTCTCCACATCGTTCCTCGAGACCATTGTTTCACTCCTCTGCATTCCTATGAAATTTGGTTCTTTTACCCCGACAGGCACTCCAACCTTCAACACATCCACGATCATTCTTTCGTTCAGGAATTGGTCGGTGAAGTGTGGCCATGTGATCATGGGAATGCCTGCCGAGATGGCCTCCAAGATGGAGTTCCAGCCGCAGTGCGTCAAGAATCCTCCGATCGCTGGGTGGGAGAGGATCATGAGTTGCGGTGCCCACCCCTTGATTATGAGCGCCCTGGAACCGACCCTCTCTTCAAATCCTCCGGCCAGCCATTGCTCGATCTTCTCTGCAGACTCTTCGCTGTACCTCATCACCCAAATGAACGGGTGATCAGATGCCTCCAGCCCCAATCCAATGTCCATCAGTTGGGAAGGGTCTGTTCGTGTGAGGCTTCCAAAACCCACATAAAGAACCGACCTCGGCTTCATGGTGCCCAGCCAACTCAGGCAGTGATCGACGTCGATTGATGCCTTTCTTCCCCTTGTAGCCATGTCGGCGACGCTCCTGCTGCGGAGGAACAATGGCCCCGTGGTCCATACTATCTTCCCCATGGCCTCCTGGTACCCCTCGATGAATGCATGTTCTAAGTCTTGAAAGCTGTTCACCACTATCCCGTCCGCTGCGAACTCAGCTTCTCGCACGTCTTTTGCTATGTTTTCGAAGATTGGTCCGGGAAAGAACTCTGACGCTTGAGCCCGTGTCACCTCGATCTGCTCCCTCAAGCCTGGCACCGTGAAAGGCTGATGCTCTTCGGTTATCCCATCATAGACCTTGTAGCGCCAGATATTGAAGGTGCACAAGAGGGCGAAGCAGGACATGCTGGAGAACGCGATGCGCGGAATTCGAAGATTCCGAGCGACCTTCAGCGTCCAAGGGAGACAAAAGTCAGAAATGATCGCGCTCGGGTACGGCTTCTGCTGACCCTGCAGATACAGTTCGAGCGGCTGCTGAAGAAGATAAGTCGCCCTGAAGAAATTTACGTAGAGCTCTGCCCTTGGCAAGTCATCGATGTTCTCCCATCCCTCCGCTAAGCCTTCTTCTGCGCCGGGGAACGGGAGCTCAACGAACCGGATGGGAAGGCCGGAGTCCCGAGCCCGGTGAATGGTGTCCTTGATGCGTGCTGCGTTGCAAGGCGTCGTGATGAAGCTGACGAGCACACCACGGTCAGCGAGGAGCAGCGCCAGATCAGTCATGGGAATCATGTGGCCTTGTGTCATCAGCGGAACCAGAACAAAATGAGGCATCCCTTCACGGTGACCATCCATGATCGATGATTTGGTTCCCCTTCCTCGAGGTGATAAGGTTTTTCCGGATGCTTGCTTGGTGGATTGGAAGGGAGACGATATCAGCTACTGGCAGCTCACCAAACGTCTTCTACAGTCATCTTTTTGTCGATTCTGCGTACTTTTGCTCATTGGGCAGCCTTAACTGCATCCAGTCTCGTGACTGCGTATATATATATATATGTATATAT